ATTAAAGACCGAGCAGTAGTGGGCAGCAAACATGATGACAGTCACCGTATGACTCAGAGTCACCTGTGGATGTATTGCCTTCCTTGCTCCACTGGCAACTCAGTCCAATTTAAAACAACCTTTATGTCGCTTTAAAATAATCTTGGAGAATATCTGTAAATCTGAAAAAATGAGAGCAAAAATTCTTTTGAGTCCTTTCTGCCATCTTCCTAATCTATAATAAATTATAAATTCAAAATTGCTGACAGTAATTTTAAAAAATCTTATATTTAATGCATAATGTGATCCATTTATGCAGAACTTTCATCCATAAACTGGTAACAGCTACAGTTGATTCTAATAGATGGACTGGTACTTTCATTACTTCCCAGGGTCCCTTTCGCCACTATTTTTATGATGCCGAACTGAGTATCTGAGTGAAATCATCAAGATGTTTGCATAACAGATCTGTGTGCCCAATTGACCTGATTTGTTCCTGCTAAGATACTGCCCACAGGGAAAAGCAAACAGAAGACGTGCATTTGTGGCTATTTGCAAAAGGAGATCTTTCCCCTGACGAGAGCAAGCTGCCAGTGAATCTGAAGGTTAACTGGACATGCCGATCCATTAGGTGCTTAAAGGACAAAATATGCTTAGGCTGATGGACTACAACTGAGCTAATTTAGAAAAAGGACAAATCAATTGGAGATAAACTAACAGAAACACCCTGTCTTGTCACATACTGCCTACATGCAACTTCAAGTAAGCTGTGGATTTTGTGCATTATGTACGACAAAAAAACCCAAAGGATTTCTGGGTTTAGGCAAATTCCAGCCTTGTGGATAGTGACTGACTGACAGTTGGAGCTTTAATTCTTTTTTTTTTTTTTTTTTTTTTTTAAATTATGCCTTTGGAGTCTTCAGATCAATAAATGAGAAAGTTTAGGCAGCCTGAGTAAGAAGGGAGTGTGCTCAGCCTAAAATGCACAGAGCAAAATAATCCTCAGCTCGAGAGCAGGTTATACAGGAGTACATACCACTTAGTTGTCTTCTACTTCTGACCTAACAAAACCCACCAACTGCTTAAAAACTGTACAAGTAAAGGTTTCAGATGTCCATCCTCTAGCATGAAGAAAGAAAACCAGCACCCTTCTTTAAAGAGTCACAGGTTTTTTTATCCATGCAACAGAAACGCAACTCTCTCTTGCCTTTGTGACTTCGTGAAGATGCAGAGGGGCCTATCTTAGAACAGGCAACCTAAAATATCTATAGATTAACACTCTGAATATGTAACTGTCCCTGTTGGAGCAAAAAGATAAACACCATTTGCTTCAGCTAATAACATAAACCAGTGAATGATTATCTGCAAAGTGCTGCCTGTCTATGAAGGCAAATACCGATCAACATACAGCCTGAAGCATAAAGAATTGCTTGTATATTTTGTCCTGATTTATATATCTGCAGATGTTATTTATCACAATTCTTACTCAATCGACTTCAATGGATTCAAAGTGGTTGAGGATGAGACACATTAAAAAAAAAAATTCTGTACACTTCAAGCAAGAGTCATGAAAGCTGCAAAATGATGGAGATGTTTTGAAAAAGACAAACGTCGTTTTGAGAACGCACAACTGCTATCAGCAAACACAATGGAAAACACATTCTAAGAACATTCAGTATAACACTGTATCTCCTTCAAAATCCTCTCATAACTAAAACTTTGTAGTTCTTAACCTGGCGTCAGAGCAGTACGAAAAAAAAAGAAACCTCACTATTTTGGCAGACTGCTAAATCTCAATGGTTTCTCTTGTATTTTTCTTTGAAAAACACAAAGAGAAAAGTGCACAGCCCTCCCCTTCTGCAGTAAGGCAGTTCCTATGTTTATGACTAGAAAGCATTTTCAAGTATTGTTGAATGTTTTGACACAAGAAGGGACCAACATAAGGTGCAGATATTCAGATACTAAGCTCTGAGGGCAACAAGGACAAGGTGAGGATGCATTTCTCAAAAGCGATGATTATTGAATTTTTCCTTGAAAATTAATCTTTTCTTTGGTTTGCTTTTGCTAAGACTATTATGTGGCTAAGAGGGAAACCAATTAAACTGGAAGATCACTAGGCAAGTGATGGCCGATATGCTTCAATTTATTCAGGACTTTTGATCCCACAGCTGTTACTTACCACAGAGAAAATACGATTTGTTACTGGACTAATAGAGTTCCTACATTTTGCTAGCTTAAACCTGCAAGTCTAAGTGGAAAGAGACCCTGGAACAGGCTCCAGTGAGCCACTCTGAATAGAAAGATGGACATAAAATTCTGTGCTTAAACAAAAGCAAGTAAGACCATAAAGATCAAAGATACACCGAACGTGTAAGGTCACTGAGGAGGATACCCAATAGACTGCTGCTTTACGTGGACCAGGCTAACTAGATATGGAAATAATTTTCAAATAGGTAATTAGGAGCTAGCAACTGATGTGCTAATTGCTTTTCTCTGACCAGTAGGTTAGCATCAATATGAGAAAATGTTTTGTCAGATCCAATAAAAAAAGCCCCAAAACCACACTCAAAAAAATAACAAGCAACAGAAAAAAAAAAACAAACAAAGAGACAACAACAACAAAAAGGAGAAACAGGACAACTTTTTCTAGGATGCAGAACTGTAAGTTACCAGAACTGACAAATGGAATTTCTTATGTAGCGCCAATTGCTATTGAGAAATAAAAGATTATACTAGTGAAAGCAGACAAATTAAGACTACCTTGTTTGACAGGTATTTAATGCCTCCATTAAGGACATTGTCCTTAGGGGCAGAATCAGGCATGACCATCCAAGATAGCTGTTTCCTGAAGGATACAAAAGAGACATAGATTGCTTACTCAAGCAGCCTCCGGTCATTCACAGTTCAAAGTGCCGCTTTACTTTCTGAAGTCACTCAAAACTATCTTGTGACCGAAGTCATAACTCCAGTTGTTCCATATACTGTTCACCAATCCACTGATAATTCCCCTCACCACGCTAGCCACCGGCTGCATCACATGGCTTCTCTCCTGCACAAGGGCAAAGGGGCGCTCCCACGGGCACCTGGGCGAGCGCTTTGGCAAGATCCATTCCGCATCGACGCCGAGGCAGTGCAGTGGCCTCGTGCCCTGGGAGCAAGATATCACTGTAGCAACTCCAAGTGCTGGTGATGCTGCATGGCTTCCCTCCTCGACCTCCTCACTGTACCGAACTCCTGCCAAAAGTTAACTTTACAGGAGGGCGATTCCCTTTGAGAGGCCAGGCAGGGCTGCCTCCATCGTCCTGACTCAGCACGCTGGGGACAAAACGAGGACCAACTGCAGAAAGAGACATTTGTAACACCTTCTCCAGCCCATAAAATAAACAGAGCGACTGCGCAGCTGCCCGGGTAGCAGCAACAGAGCCTGAGCCTTTGCACTTCGCTTGGCAGGAAGAGCTGCAGGGCCTGCATAGGAAGGAAATATTTTCTTTTTACCAGACCTCTTTGCCACATTCAGGAACACCAATGATCAGACGCAGCAGCTGCCTTGAGAAGTGGACAGAGCCTATTAAGATTGTACTTTTAGAAAATAACCAGCATAATCCTGATCCAGTACACACGGATTTAACTTTGATTATTACATATCTAGTAACACATACACCAACTGAACAAATTAAAAATGTCTTACTCAGGAATAGGAAACTGCAGAACTAACCAAGATTTGTAGCACAAGCTGACTTTAAACATGTAAAATGAAATCACCAAATGAAGGATTTAATGTTGGGTTCCTAAAACTTCTGCCACACTGTCAGTTTCTGTGATTAAAAAAAGCCATGGATCTCATTCTCAGAAATTCATTATGTAGCATTTTACACTAAAATACAGGATGCTGTTATACAACCAGGCATCTGGGGAGATTAATCCTGATTAAAAAAAAATCTCAGGGAAAAGCAGCTATTTAATAAAACAAGTACGACAGCAGAATAAACTACCAGATTTGTGCAACTGAATCAAGTTGAATGGTACCAAACAACAAATCAAACAGAAATATTTACCTTGATCCTAACAGATGTCGAGTACAAAGCTCCCAATAATTTCCCATAAAAAAAAAAACAGAGCAGTATCTTTACAGAGGGGAAGCACTAAGATGACCTGAAACATTCAGGAACATGTTTCTTCATAGTACTGAAGCAAAGGAAATCAGGAAAGCAACACAGGAGGGTGTCCTGAGAGACAGGGTGAATATGTAAAAAGGGGGAGTTGAACCCACATTGCAATGACAGCTGAGGGCAACAACACGGAGCCAAGAGGCCAGCAGAAGACACAGCCAAGCCAAGAGCAGAGTGAAAAAGCCTTTGGCTGAGCTGGAAGTAAAAACTGTGTAAGGGTTCTCTGCCTATATTGTAAAGCTATCCCCCCACTGTCAATGCTCAATCTCAACACACACTTAAATAATTTCTGTACTACAGCTCTATTCCACCATTCTGAAATTCTGCATAAATGCTACATACTTAAAACAGCTAAGGCTTTTCCGGACAGTTTCCCTTCATTCAAATACATGTTGTCCTTCTTCCAACTGTGAAGCATCATTAGTACTTCCAAGAAGTCTGCTCCTTGCACTAAATAGAATTGCTTGGTTGATTTGTAAGGCATTTATTGTAACTGCTTTGTTGCACAAGGCAAGCAGTCTTTTGTTTTTCTTTTTTCAGTAAAGCATCAGAACTGTCAGAAGTATCCATTAGCACAGAATCTGTCCGAAAATAATGCTTTCATATTGCTGTTATTACTTTCCTTGTCTTTCCTGTAATCTCAGACAAAGACATATGACTTGGCAGACCTGTGAAGCAGAGGTATCAGCCTAATATTCCAAGAACAAACTTAACTACTGCCAGCAAACCGACAGCTACTGTTCATGTGCATCTGCCGTTTCCCAGGAACTGCACTTTGCAGAAGTGTGAAGTCAGAGACTTAACAATCCTATCAAGTTAAGGAATTAAAGAAAAAAATCATCACTCTAAACCCATATTAAAAAAAACCAAACACCTTTAATATGTTTTTTTCCATGATCTAATATATAAACGCAATGGCAATAATGTGCTCTTCTTCTGTAAGCTTGGATGAAATATATTGAAGTCCACTTTTCGCACACTACATAAATAATCATCTAAAGCAACCTAGAAAAGAAGAAAAAAAAGCTTAGTCCATCAGGTGCTCACAAATAATTGGGCATTAATTTTAAAAAGCAATACATGAAACCAAATGAGGAACTCCAAAAAGGCTTGACAGTTTGCCTGTTTTAGCCGCATAACCATCACATTCAAAGTGTATTTAAAAAATGCAGGTTTTGTGAAGAGAAGCATTATCTTTTACTAGCTCAAACAGGAAATTACAAAAATAAGTGGGATTTTGGGCCTCTGCATTAGAACGATGGTCTATAATTAAACAGACATCTTGGGTGAAATGATGTAGTTACAGAAGGATTAGAAGTGTTGATCAAAACTAGGAGGTTCCGCAGTCAGGCACACGTTATGATTTTCACAAGTTTCAGGAATTACACCCTCACAAAACAGACACATGAAACATTAGTTAACCATGGTTAACTTGATACGCTGCTCTTCACAAGCATATTAGCACAGAAAAGAGTCCTCCACCACTTAAAGAGTGCAGGATGTCACACCCACCGTACAGAAAAAAGCAGGATAAGCCTTCACAGGAACTTTCTGACTGAAAGACCTAGCCTGAAAGTAAATGGGGTAAAGCAGGAGACAAAACAAAATAAATGGACTTATCAGAAAAATTTAACATTTCAGATTAAACATAAAGTACTATATAAAATAAAGACAACAGACTGTATTACGAGCTTTGTCCCTTTTTACTTTGACATCCTGAAACTGTAATTTTTTGTTATGTCCAAACCACTACCACCCCTCATTGGATACAAAAGTAACTACATAGGAAGTATGTAAAACTGTGAGAGGCCTGGAAAAACTCTTATATGGTTTATTAACCTTATAGTTTACATAAGATAAGCCAATGTAAATTAGTATCCCTTGTTTCAACAAAGTTCCAAGCTAAAACTACCTAAATTAATAAAGTATAAATTATCTAATTTATAAAAATTCAATTTATCTAATATAAATGGAATATAAATTATCTAAATTAAAATTAATCTAACTTAAAAAATATGGTTTAACTCTTGCCCCTACAAGCCAGAAATGATGGAGGACCAGGAATTAATTTCACCGAGTGCATCTTTTTAGTCAAGTATTGCCATCAGTCCCAGAAGTCCAGTAATGCTCCATTTACATTTACAGGACTTCAAAAGGATCTCAATGCTTCAGGTCTTCAGTATCTACACATAAACACAGTCAAAACTATGGCTGAATCAAATCTACAATTTGAACCCACGTACAACTCAGAAGCATCTAACAGCTGAAGTAAATCTTCCTGTTATGCTTATTTATAAATACAGAAGCCCTTCTTGTTTTGCCTTTTCTTACAGGTTAAAACAAACAAACCAGCTCTCTATGAATACTGATGAGAATGTTTGGGCTTCTGTTAGTTTTCCACAGATCTTTCCAGGCAATGGAGAAAAACAGGCTGGAACTTTAGGAGGGAAAAATACTGAATCTTTTCATAAGGCAAATTATTTTAAAACTTTGAGATGTAATAACATCTGTGTGTCTCTCCCTTTCTAAAAAGGGAAAATGCTTTTCCCTGCTCTAATGTTCTGCCTCACTATTATTAATTGTGAGATGAAAAAAGTAATCTTGCTTGACCTTCTTAACCCAGAATGGGTTGCACATCATTCAGAGAGCATGTTATCTTCCTTGGTAAATTGAGTCCATAATGATCTAGCTTAATTGAGATAAATGCAAAAAGCCAAAAGGAGACACTCTTTAAAATAAAAAGGAATGGGGGAAAGCATGCCTAAGAGAAAGAGGGGGCGCACATAAATGCATTTGCAGGCTTTCAAAGAGATCACTGTGGACAGACAGAGATCTTTTATTAGATGCTTTTATTCGAATAAAACACAGAATTCCTGGAGAAAAGTCTGTATTGTCTTATTTTGCCCTCTGCTGGTCATCGGTCACAGTATCAGGAAGAGCTGACCACACTTCAGACACTTTTCTCCCAAGATTAAGTGCCACATTATTACAATATGCTTCATATAATACTGCTGAGACTTAATTTAGTATTTGAAGATTATGTTTCTTCCAACTGCTAAACTGGGGCTGGTAACTGTTACCCTCCTCCTCCAAAGTATGTGGTTTGTGTAACAAACACTGAGATTGTTGAAACCTCTCTGCAGGTTTAAACTTTACCCCACCCTGTAATTCCAACTAAGACAGGGTAAACGGCTGGAAAGACCCTCAGGCAAAACAAGATGGTGATTTTATACAGGAGAACAGATGCATTTAAGGCACCAGACCATTATATTCACCTAAAGTCTTGAAATACCCAGCAAATGTTGCCAGCAAAAGCCTATTTCATCCATTAGAGGAGAAAGTATCTTTATCCTTCCATTAACAAAGGCCATCTAAATATCAGGGAGGCTAATACCCTGTTATTACTCCAAGTTAATGCCAGTTCAAGTGGTCTGAACACTCCTCAGAGATCCTGCACTGTCAATTATTCTTCACTGATGATTATGGAGGTTGGAAGCATGTATTCAGAAAGGAATTTTTTAATTTTAATTAAAATTATAAACCACATCTATTTAAAAAAAAAAAAAAGGAGCGAGGTGGTGCCAAGATCAACAGCCAAGGGAGTAAAATGCTAATGCTGCCCTAATCTGTTTTCCTTGGGTTTGTACTCTCCTCTATAGTCCCCAATTACACAATCACGTTGCATTTTTTCCACAGGACCCTCCAGTGCATAACATGGGCAGGGCTCAAGGAGTGGAGTGGGAAGAAAATGGGTGTGAAGTTCTGCCTGTTCTCTTCAGAAGCTGGTTGGCATTTTGGGAGCCAGCAGACTAATGTACTAACAAGTCTCAAATTATCTGACAGGCTCTGAACAACTGAATTCTCTCCCTGCATCTGTCCCTAAGTTTCCATGCAATACCAGCAAGCAAATTTTAAACATCTGGACAATAAATACACACCGCTTACTTTCCATGCCTCCCATCCCTGTTATGAGGCATTTCAGGCCAGGCATTTAGTGTCTCTGTAAGCCACAACTGCAACCAAAGTCAATGGGGTTTCCACTGTGCATTGTGGGTTGAGGGGTGGGGAATAAGAAAAAAATCAAAATATTTCAGCTCGAACAAAGATAATGAACAGTTTTGATGTTGCATTTTCTTTGTCTCTGTTCCCTGCTTCTAAATGGAATAAGTTTCCTTGGGCATGTGACGACAAAAACTAAGACATCAGATGAAACAACATGAATGCATTAAAATGCTTATTAGAAATAGTCTGTATTAAAAATAAAGCCCAAGGCTATGTATTATTAACAAAAAATAAAATAATTCATCAACTAACTACTGACTGAAGAAACCACAGATGCCTCATTGTACATTCAGAAAAAACGAAGAAAGGCTCTCTTATCCCCACTGCACAAAACACTGTGATGACAGGTAATGCTGTAGTTAAGGGTTACGTTAATGGTGTAAATGCAGAGATAAAGCTAGCATTTCTTTATTTTGTGGTAGTATCTTTTCAGATTTCCTTGATTGGAAACATTGAGTGCAATGTACTTGTAGTAGTAAAACTTTTTGCAGTGTCTCTTGCAAGTTTTGTTTTCCAGGAAAAGGCCGACACAGCACTGATAATGAAACATTCTTTTGCTTTTCTGTTAGGTACCAACAAGTGATTCTGAGGGTAGCTAAAATACCAGAATAAAAGAAAAATAAGAGTACAGCTCTGGAGTTTTTCAGAATTCATATCCATTGTTTCAAACAAATAAAGTCTTTCCTAATTAGCCAGAAAAGAAATAAACAGAAAGCACCTTTCTCAACCTAGCTGCAAGCATGACTGGCAGTGTCAGGGAGATATCGCCCCTTCCCGCACACACTAGCCAGCAGTTAAAGACAACTTGCTCTGCTTTCCTGGCAGCCACTCCACCCTGTTGTGAAATGCCATATGCAGAAGTGCTTATGGTGCTGACCCCATGCTGCCATATAGATGCATTTATAAAGGTCTGCTTGAAGTTTCTCTCCCAATAATAAGGCTTTTAGATACCATTTTTATATATGCAGTGGGACCAGTCTGTGAGTAAACTGCCTGCTGTACATACGGGTAAGTATAATGTTCATACAGAAGTAGCTGTAATATTTAAAGGGTTTGTGTGGTTATTCTTGTTTTGTTTTTCTTTAATTTAAAGCTTCAAAGGAATTAAAGGTAAAATATCTGAAGCTAAGTATGCCACTGTAAACCTTCTAACAATGCATATGCACAATGTTTCATGAAGATTAGTGTCAATTAGGTTAATTTAAATAAATAAAAGGGAAGGAATCTCACATGTTCTAGATGAATATGGGCCTGGCTGGCAATGTCATAAATTACATCTCTCACATTTTTCTCCTGCTTGCCTCTTATGAAATCTTCTTGTGAAACTCCATGCTAGACATAGGAAGGAAAATCAAAGAGAGAAAAAGCGCTCAGTAAGTATCAAGTTTCCATTTTAGCTTCTCAAAAACCTGTACCAGCAACCAAAATACCGATACAAGACTGAAACAGCCTAAAGGTTTTACCACTGCACCATCCTTTTTTATTTACTTTTGTCAGTCACTTGGAAAAAAAAATTCAAGAGAACAAAGAGACAGCTGGTACAGACTCTCTCTACATGACTTTGTTCCCTAAAGACTTTGTGGTTAGTCAGATAACCAAGTCAGATTTTAAAGTTTTGGGAATTTGGACCAGTTTAGATAACGAATTTTTAAAACCACAATCCAAGAATCAATATTAAGCAGAAGAGAGCCAGTAACAGCTAACACAGAAACCAACAAAAACCAAACAAAACAAATGCATCTCCAAAAACAAGCAAACAAAAAAACCAAAACCAATTCCCCCAAAATCTCCAACCCCAACATTATTCTTTGACTACACTGACCAGCATAAGACATAACATGGTATATTCAGAGCTGCATCAGTTGCCAGTTCTTCTCAACAATACTCAGACCTATGAAAGCCACATGAAGGCAGGCAAGTAATTCTTCACAGGAGACACAGGCTCCAGCAGAACTCTGCAGTACTTGCCAGCAACTGAAATGCTTACAAGATGCTCAGTCTGCACAGAAGGGATGCAAGCTGTTCCTACAGTTTTGCTGTAAAAGACCTTCCGTGGCAAGGAATGACTGAATTTTCAGGCTGCGTTTGAAGAGCTAAAAACTTGGAAGGCGTCCCATACCATCCAGTCCCAGAAAAGATAAAAGCAGGGTACAGCACCTTTCTGCAGTCTTATAACCCTGACCTATACTAGTATCCACATTTTTTGCAACTACCTAAATTACTAAACTTCAAATCAAAACTTTCAATTGTATTGAAATGACAGAAACAACTGCCTGAAGCATCACTATAATTACATAAATTTTGGTTAAGTATAAAAAGAACAGTATAGACATTTAAAAATAAAGACTGGAGATGAGTAACAGCTGAGATGCCTACAGATCCAGTTAGAAATCATTAATGAAAAAAAAAAATTGAACTTTAATCCCATTTTACTCAAATCGCAATATCTCCTACATTCCAATGCAAAGTAGATGCACCATTTAAATTGGAGGAGTACACCATCTCTTACAGCAATGTATGGAGTGCGTGCTTACAACCATCAAATATGTAACAAACAAAAAATATCCCCCCAAAATAAAACCACTCGCATGCTTATCAAAAAGTAGTAAAGAGAAATACAAGAAGAGAAGGTTGTTCAGAGGTAAAATTTCTCATAGTGCTTCCTTTACAGGGCTAGGAAGAGAAAAAGGAAAAAAAAAAAAACACCACACACAAAAAAAAAGCCCAAACCTATGCTCCATTCCATGTATGTATTTCTACACATTGATGGAAAATTCCTGAAAGCTAAAATACTACTATATTTAATAATTTAAAAAACCAAAACCAACCAACCAACAACAGGGAAACCCTACAGTTTCATAAAGGTCACTCCTCCCACCTCTCAAAAGACATAAACCCACGACAACGGTATATTACAAAGCAACTACGAGAAGAGTTAAAATACAGGAAAAAAGTGTTCCATTTCTGATTTCTGGCCCATCTCTTATTGAGCATTCAGACACAGTATAGAAACACTATATGGTTCAGTTCCAGACAGCTTGTTTCTCTTACCAACATACAAATGTCCATGGGAAGAAAGACCTTTCGTTTTGTGCTATGATACGGAGTTCCTCTTAAGCAGGTAACTATGCCTTGTGCCTTCCCAATGTGACTGGCTGCATGGTCAGCGTGGATGTCCCTCACACCTAAAAGTGCATAAATAATATGTTTAGAGACATTCTCTCAGGCCTTTTGAGGGGTACAGTCTCCCCTGATGTGTACCACAAACATACTTGAGGGAAGCTAAGTGCGTTGGTCCATGATAGAACTGTCTATGTTCATAAATTGTTTTGAGATCTTATCTCAGAGATGACAAGCAGCAGGCAAATTCACCCATTTCCACACTCAGGAGCAAGACAGCTCTTAGCTTGTTGTGCTTTCTGCAAAGGGTGCACCTAGTGGAGTGGCAGCTATTCAGATACAATACATCGGTACACAACCTCATTCTCATTGGCACATCCTCTCCCAGGATAACAGTATTCCAAGAACTGGCTTTCCTGCCAGAGAAATCACAGAAGTGTGAGATTCCTAACACTTAGAGTGTGGTTTCATGATGAGCTGCAGCCGATTCAGCACTGTACTGAAGCCAGAGAGAATGGTCCTACGCTTCCCCCAAACCCCAAACCTGCAATTCTGCCACCTCCCTTGTGCTGTCATGGGCGATGAGGCAGCAGCATGGCAAACTGCACCAGACCAACAAAGCGATGGAAAAGGAACCTCAGCTACTGCACGGGCACACAGCCGTGAGAACTGGAAGGAGAGATGAGTGGGGCAGAGGAGCACCACTGCTCTTCATGGCAAGACCATATATGATTGGCTTAGGCTGATCATGAAGCCATAGTAAGCTGTGATAAAATGCATATTTGAAGAAAAATAGAAATAAATCACAAAAGCTCCAACAGAAGCAGCATTCTACAAAGAACAAAATGAGGATATAGGAATTACAGACCAATGAGGCTGACACCTGAAAGCAATACTGGGCATACCAGATTCACTGCCCAAGCCTGCCTGAGCCTTGCACAGGTCTCAGAAGCCTCTGTGAAACAGTGGCTATAGGTAGACTATGTGGACTTAATTTGGCAATGGCAGCAGAAAGCAGACTGTGGCCTGGAGAAATCAATTTATATAAGTTACTGATACTGACTGGGCAGCTCAGGCTTTTTGTGTAACTAGGAGTTTAAAAAAACAAAAAAACAAAAACACACAAACTACCACACACCAAGAAGCTCAAAGACTAAGAGTTAGCAATGATTCATTCTCAACTTGGGGATATATCCCAAAAGTGAGATTCTGAAAAGGTTTAACAAAATTACTGGGTAGTACCAGACTCCTAACTACTTAGGCAATGAATCAGAGAGACCAGTATTAATATTTTTAAATTACAAGAGCTGGGAGGAAATACCCAAACTGAACTTCAGGATCAAAGGCATTTCTCAGAATGGAAGATGCTGAGATTTCTCATACTCCTACACTTCTTCAACCAGAAGTTCAGAAAGACACTTGCAACATTTCACCAATTTCCTACTGAGGAAGCAAACCTAGATGCTAAGAGAGGTTCCTCATTTCTTCCAATGAAGAATGTGCTCACCATGTCTCTCTTTTTACTTCTCTTTTTTCTTTTTTAAACTCTTTTAACCTCATCATTGGCCTTCCACCAAACTACTCTGAGAAGCAAGAGAAAAATATTGGTACAATACTAAATACTACTAAATAATAACAATTCTCATCCTTCTTTCAGATCTGAGCTCATACAGTGAATACCATAATGCAACAGACACTTAAAAGAATGTTCCTCTGTCCTCCACTGCCAATGAACAGTTCTTTCCCAATCTGCAACTCTGTACTAGACAGGACATAGACACTAGCTCTTAACCACAAGGATCATAGCAACTTAGTTGCATTTTTTCTAGCTATTAAATTATTGATAGTTAACCTATTTTTAGCAAGGGGAGAGGATTCAGACCAAAATTTACATCACCAAAGGAACTGTGTAAGTTGGGAAGTCAGCAGCTTTAAGATAACTGATGTGCATCACTGCAATATAGAACAACAGCTGCAGAATAACTACAGCACTTTGTGTTCTGACAAGTGGGACAATCAGAAAATATTGTAAAGAACTGAATTAACCCCATTTTAACAGTTGTGAGAAGAGGAAAACAAAGCAACAAAGAACAGAGCAGTAGGAAACCACATTTCAATGAGCTTTCCACCGAGCAGCTTCTCAGGCAAGTACATAGTTCTAGGACAGGTGCAGTAAGATTCCAGATTTATGGTTCAGCATTCAAGATATCTGAATTATTAGCTAAGACAACTTCTACTGAAGTTAAACTCCAGCAGAAAAAGAGTGGGCTTTTTGAAACATCTGTAAATATTGTACCTGCACTAAAGAGTCATGAACAAAATGTAGAAAGAAGAGAATGCCTACCCAGCGTTTCCAGGGTGAGGTACAAGAGAGCACCCTGAGTATTCTCCGCGTACGATTCAAGCTCCTGGATGTTGCGGTAGGCTCTATCATCCAAATTCTTCTCCTGTAACATGAACACAAAACTTCAGTAAAATGTAAATGTGACTGCTATTTATACAAGTTTATTACTATAGTCATATCAGCCTAATTTGCTCTAAGAAAAAAAGAAAAAAGAACAAAATTCAGAGATAGAAAGAGAGTGTAAACTGAGATAGAAGTAGTCACTAAAGCTTATAGCAAGCCTAACATAACCAAGTAACTACAGGCAAGTACAATCATAGAATCACTATGGCTGTAAAGGACCCCAGGATGACCAAGTCCAACCTTTCTCCCAACATTTCCCTAACATTAGACCATAAGTAAGTCTGGCTGCTGGAGCAAATACAACTTTTTGCAACAATAAGAAACGGGTATTCTTCATAAAAAAAAGATACAGCCAAAACAAAACATCATATGGAATTCTTGCATACTGGGTTGCTGTTTTGTTTTGCCAATGACCAGGCCCA